AACCAGGAAAGTATGGGTACAAGTATTTGCTGGTTATGACAGACACCTTTTCAGGGTTGGTAGAGGCTTTTCCAACCAAGCATGAGACCAGCCAGGTAGTAGCAAAAAGAATAATAGAAGAGATAGTCCCCAGATATGAGATCCTGCGAAGCAGTGATGCCTACGAGGAATGGAACCGCACCTCTCATACGGCCCCATTGTGGACATGGTGGCTAGATCTGTATGTTGACTTAGAACTTGTACTGGGGCAATTTTATCACCTCCCCCAGAAAAACCACCAGGAACAGTATTATATGAAAAAATGGGCTTTGGTTGACTCATCATCCACAGTCAACCGCCAAGCTTTGTGGGCAAATGGGTTCTTTGCTCGCCCAGGTTTTCGGACAGGTTGGTGGGGGTGCAATTGTGGGGTTGCTGATAGACTCTACTGTGCTGAATGGAATTTTGTGGAAGTTAATGATGGGTGGTGGAGATGGGAAGTTTCCCCTGACCTGATTGATATGAGGTTTACTACTCCATATAACCAATGGACAGTATCTCCACTGGCCAACCAGGTTAAAATCACCTTTACCTCAAAGGGAAAAAACGATAAAAGGTGGATAGATGGGCTGACATGGGGCCTGATGCCCTACCAGACGCCATGGAGGAGGGATCCTGTTCCAGATCTTCCTCCAGGTTGAGGCAGTGGTAAGGTTGCCAGCAGGACCTAACCTGGTGTTAAATACCCCTTGTCTGAGGCCCCGACCTCCCCCACCTGGGTCTCCTAGGCCCACTTTCAAGCCATCAGGCACCGCATCGACATCAGCAGCCCCAGCCATGGAAAGGCCGGGGACAGCTGCGAAACCACAGACTCCCAGCAACCCTATGTGGGAGATGGTGCAAGCTGTAGTAGAAACCCTTAATCATACCACTCCCTCTCTTACTGACCCCTGTTGGCTGTGCTACCCAGGATCCCCACCCTTTTATGAGGCTATCGGGATAAATAGTTCCTATATTCTCAACAACTCTCATCCCACCTATTGGGACGGGAGACCATGGGGACTTACTCTTGCCCAGATCTCAGCCTCTGGCACATGTGTAGGCACAGTTCCAACATCCCAAAGCCAGTTATGCTCCTCATGCAATAACACCCCATGGGAGCAGGGGAAGTGGATTATACCCACCTC